CTTCTTCTACCTCTCTCTCTTCTTCTCTCTTCTTCTTCCCCCTCTCTCTCTCTCTCTCTCTTTCGCTCTCTCTCTTTCTCCACTTTCTTCCTTATTCTTGATTGCTAACACTCTCCGATCCTGTTCAGTTTGAATGCAATAAATGCCAATAAGCTGGTGCGAATCAGCGTACGTATGGTTATATTATAGATACATAGAATATATATGAACTGCAACGTTAATTTTCTCATTTTCTGTGAGAATCGTACGAGAGACGATAAAAAAATATAAGAACGGAGAGTAGTATACTATATCGGTAGCAAACATGATCGCTTTGTCATATGTTGAATTTTGAATTTGTAGCGATCAGTGATGCGTAGATATAAAATCGATCGTGATTTTTTAATCGATCGGATATAATTCTCGTATTCAAAGAAATTGTGAAACATATTTCTCGAGTAGATCGAGAACTAACTTTACTGGAAAATCGTGTGGCAGTTGATTGATGATCACTTTATTCTGTTCTACCTGTTTTGCAATACCGAAAAACTTTGATTTGGAATGTATTGAACTGTGCGTATTAATGAAATCTGTACATGGAAGTGGTGGTACGTACGAAAAAATTCAAGTGATATCGATATTGCCAATACAATGTATATTACGTATAAAAAAAAAAACGCTTAAAAGGATAAAATTGCATTATGACCGCAACAAAATTAAATGCAAATATTTTTAATTCGATATTTTAAATGCATCTTAAAGTAGGGGGTATCTTTATAACCTTTTACGTGTCTCTTGCTGAATTGAGTTTTGTGATATTTACATAAAAACGCAAGCGTTTTCCATTGTGCGTGAGATCAGCATTACGTTACATCACATTAGGTTGTTCGATTCAATTATGAACAAGTTATCGGAACAGTGTATATGATAATCGTTATATTAATTTAAAAGATCATAAAAAAAAAATAAAAAAAAAAGTACAATACCACCGAAGACTAATATGAATGCTAAAATGTAGTGTGCATCGAATCGGTAGAATCAGAATCAATTTTATCCAAAAATCACATTGCTTACTATTCGCTTAAGTAAGCAACGAAAGGGTACGGTTCACTTAAAACACTAGATTAGATATAACGTACTTACACACAAACATGTCTGATATACATGGGGTATAACTGCATTCCATTTTCGCGAATACGTAGTAAAAAAAAATTCGTGTCGATGATCGTTTCGGTTGATCTACACAATGGTAGAATTTTTCATTTTTCTTCGTTTTAGTTCAAACTGGTCCGCATCTCATCCTTATCTTCTACTTAGTTCCGTTCTGACAGCTGAGAGTATAAAATAAAAAAAAACATAAACAATTTTAATTATTTAAAATTTCCATGTCGATCATTCTTTATATTCTTACCATCTACAATCTCTTGTTTCATCTTTTGAAATTCTTTACGCACTTCCTTGATAATCTCTGCTTTAAATGCTTCCATTTCTTGAGCAGTGAGCACAGCCCCATCATTAACACCGTTTACTTTTAAAAGTGTATCCTCCGAAGCTGAACCAAACCTCTTGCGAACCGATTTTGGTGATTCGGCACCATTTGAGAATTTATTGTTAGATGAACTATTCTTATCCCATGATTTCTTATCGGGTGAACTCTCAGGTTCCTAAATATATATAATACATTTTCATATGTGTATATATATATATATATATATATATACACATATATATGTAACTAAAAAAAAAAAAGAACAACGACTTGGTAATAGAAAATTAAAATATAAAACTATCGAGAAAAATTTACTTGTGGTTGTTCAGGTTGTTTTTTCTCAACGGCAGCTCGTCTACGGGCTAAAGTTTTAGCCATTTCATCCATCATGGAAGCCATACCGCCACCTCCACCTCTTCCTAAAGTACCATAATTTCCGCTTCCAGCACTTCCACTGCTACTAGTACTAGAACCACTGTTTTCTATTGGTTGCTGTGATGCCTATAAAAACAATCGAATAAAGAAAAAATAAGAATTAAAAAAAAAAAAATAAAATAAAAAAAAATCCAAGATAACACAAACCTGTTGCTTCTTTTTAAGACGAGTTGCTTGAATTGCTGCAGCCAAGAATTGGAATCTGGTGATGGTTCGCTATTTGTGACAGAACTTACTGATCCAGTGGAACCAGATCCAGAAAGAGGATTTAGACTAACAGCGTTGATTTTCGGGGCAGGTGGTGGAGGAGGTGGAGGTGGAGCGGCAGGCCCAGCCACTGGTAGCATAGGAGGTGGTTGAGGACCAGCATTGCCGAGAGGAGCGTAAACATTAGGATTAACAGGTGGTACGTGATGTCCACTACCAGGACCACCACTACCACTGCCAACAGTATTTCCACAATTACCACCGCTACCACCACCTACACCGCTAGTGCTGCTATATTGATTCACTGAATTTGATGGTGTTCCATAAGGATTCGTAGCGCTTGAAACTGCTTGTATTTGGCTAGTACCATATTGTGCCTGTGCCTGAGATACAATATTGTACTGAGACTGATTCGGCTGGCCGACACCACCAACGTTGACTGCGACACCTACCCCATAACCCTGACCTGTTGTCGCAGCTCCGCTACTGGCATATTGGCCAATCGAATTACTACTTCCATATTGATTTCCACCAGGACCACCAGGACCACCAGCACCACTACTACCACCACCGCCGCCATATTGATTTGTTTGACCAGGTTGTCCACTAGAATACGCGTTAGCAACTTGTCCGTTGTTATTGTAGAAGTTATTCTGATTTCCAGAAGAATACTGACATGGACTTTGCCCGACAACAGCGACAGTCGCGTATTGACTATTGTTCGGTGCAGCTCCATACTGATTTCCTTGACTACTACCATAAATTGACTGTGCTTGCGATTGATTCGGCAAATTTGATTGAGAAGATGGGGATTGCGCATATTGGCTCATCATCATTGGAGGTGGTGGTACCGGGACGTTAAAGTTTATCATTGCCGGTGGACACGGTGGAGCTGCTGACGCCATAGGTGGCTGCGGTGGAGGTACTGGAGGTGCACCTCCGCTCGTCATTTGTCCTGCACTAGTTCCAATACCACCGGTAACTTGCATCGATTGTATAACAGTTTGTTGCTGAGGTTGCGGAGCTGGAGGTGCTGACGAAGTTCTGTGATGACCGGATTGTGGTTGTTGCTGCAATGGTTGCGATTGTTGCTGCTGCTGCTGTACTTGATGTTGTTGTTGTTGTTGTTGTTGTTGCGGAGGTTGTGGTGGAGCTGGCGGCTGTGTTTGTTGTTGTTGCATAGATTGTTGAGGTGGTTGTTGTTGTTGCTGTTGTGGAGTCGGTTGTTGCTGTTGCTGCGATGCGAGAGGACAACTTGGAGATATTGCGTTCGGACTATTTGTTGCTGTAAATAAAATATAAGATCATTGAAGATCTCTCTTTAATTTCATAATTTCATAACATTGATGCATATTATTACGTTATTTATACCTTGGCTTTGTTGAGACATTCTGCGTTCCTGAATAATTGCTACATCTTCTCTGGTCATGGTTCTGGGTGAAAAATAAATACATATTTTTATAATATAATTTTATGATTTTTTGCAAGTGACAAAAAGTAATTGAAAGTCTCGAAATATAAAAAGAACGAACCTATATCCCATATCTTCATCATATTGAGCATTAGTAGGTTGCTGTTGCTGAAAGACGGATTGCTGTTGAGTAGCTGAGGCAGGTGCAAGACTTCTCGATATATTGCTTCCATTGCTCAATACCTAATATTAGATGATTATTAAAATAAATCCAAAATATATTTGAATTGAGGTTTATCAATAGCTAAAGTAGGAGTGCAACAATTAGTTTGAACTCACATCGAGTGCTTGTAACATCGCCCTAGCAAATGCATCGGCGTCATCCTTACTGGAGAAATTCAGACCATACACTTGTTTGTTATCTCGCCATTGATGAAATGTGACTGTCGCTTGATTGTATTTTAATCCTTTGAGGATCGCGCAATTGATAACGATTTCGTGATCCTGTAACTTTCTTCCCACTACGCGAAATGTATTGTTCACTTGATGATGGTATAACTGAACTTTGGAGAGTCCTGAGGAACTGCCACTTGGTACCCATTTTTTATTAACGTCGTCATATACCATTACCGACGCACGAGCGGACGATATGCTCACTTCGCTGCAACATAAAGAGAATCATGTTTCTTCACAATGTATTTATCCTTTCCCATATTTTTTATATAGAATCGTGAATCACTTATTTGCACAAAATAATTGAAATATTGCAAAAAATTCTACCACGATCGATATTCTTCCGGAATAATTTGTTGTCGACGAGAATATGAATATCGTCTCATTGTTTCCTCGCTCTTTGAAATCGTAAGAAATTATGTCAGATATTTTACTCATAAATATATTAACCAAAAATATCCTGTAAAATGTTGCGTTTGGTGTCACTTTCACCGTGCGCGGACTATGTTAAAACAGCATGAACCGCTCGCGAAATGAGAACAGAACGAAACGGAATACTAAAAGATACTGCCACTTCCTTCTTTGCTCAGCGTACGATCAGACAAGCCCGAGTTCTATGATAAGAACTAGAGTGTATCCGTGATACGCGTGGTTTTCAAATCTTTCTGTGTTCTCCGTTGTGATTGTTTTCAAACAAGTTTATAAAATAATTGGCAACGTGTTGCATGATTACATTGATCAAATGTGCAATTTAGAAAAATCTCAATAAGTAAAATTCTAGCAAAATGATCTTGAAATCTTCAGAATAATTGAAGTTAACGTTATTTTTTCGCGTTATTTGTATGTACTTAAGTAGTAGAACAGAGGTTCGCGTCACCAGCCTGTCACGATCATGTTACGGTATAACCCTTTTCAAACAATTCCCTTTCTTTTTGTCTTTAACTCACTCACTCTCTCTTTCTCTCTCTCTCTCTTTTCTGTCCCTTTCTGGTTCTTCTTTCTTTCTTTCTCTCTCTCTTTCTCTTATATACACATTCATTTTCTTTTTTTCTTTTTTATTTTTAAATTTAATTAAAATCTAATTAAATGAAAATAAAATCATCAAATATATATCTAAATATCAGAATTTAACTAAGTGAAAATTATATACATCGAACACAATATGAATCATAATGTGACTCACAAACTAATCGAGGTAAATATGTTATCAAACAATTTCATTGATATCTTTTCCTAGTTGTAAAACGTGTGCCAAAATATTGAATGAATCAATGTTAGTAATACGATTGTAATATTTTATATTATGTCATTGACATTCATTTTACTAAGAGATTGTATAAAAAACAAAATATTAATAAAAGAATGGCTAAGAAAAATGTAGCAAGAATTTTTGTTTGCAAAAGAAATTATAAAATGTACGCATGCGTGTAACAGAACTTTCATCTGAGATAAACAAATGTGTGTATTAAAATTATTGTGTATGTATAATATTTTTTTCATCTTATGCAAATATATATGCGCATATGAGTTCAATTTAAATAAAGATAATCCGAAGAAACATATATAACATTTTATTCAATGTAAAAAAGATAGGATATGAGTATAGGTAGAAAGAAGTTCCGTTTGCTTTTACGATACACAAAGGCGTCGAAACGCAAAATTTGGAAGCATATCAGAATATCTTCCGGCGAGCAAGTCTAAATACGAACAAACGGATGTGTGAAAGGAATATTCGATTAGTAGGGATATAATCGGAAAGTATAAAAGAATTGACACTTATGGATATATTTGATAAAAAGTTTGATTGCAAAGCCCTATCCTAAACAATTTTTAGTAAATCCTTTCAAGAAATTTAAACGCCGAAAAAGTATTATATTGTATTGATGAAGAATGAAAATATCAGTATTGAAGAATAATAAGAAATGTTAAGTTATTAAAAATATCTATTGATAGTCTATAATATAAACAATAGAAGACAAAAAGAAGTAAGTACTTGAACCCATATACTGAATTCGGCTCGATCTTATATGACTCGACCTTCTCTCTTACTCGATGCTGTATCGTATACGTGGAACTTACTTCATGTTTGTTTGACTCGGAAGCGTATGCTATGCTTTCATGCAAGCTGTATTCCTGCTTCTACACAGTATATCACCGATTCCATGAAAACACGCGAGATTCGGGCAGGATTTACGGTAGTTCGACATAAATAACGTACAGCACTAACACCACCCCGACACCCTACCTATGCACATCTGGCCAGCCATATTGCCGACTCCAGGCCTATACTCCTTCCACCCTTCGTCTCGATGTACACGTTTACCTAGAAGGAATACTCGAATTGCAAGCGTTAATACGCTCTATTTTTGCTCTCTCATTCTCTTTGCCTCTCACTTTTTCTTTCTTATTTTGCGACTTTTCTTTTATATGCAAAAAAATAAAAAAGACTATGTGATTATAAATCGAATCTTTTTGATCCTTTGATTTAATTATTATGGCAATTTTTCTATATCTCGTTCTTGTGATTGTACAGAGAGCAATTTAATTATTTTCTAAAAGTCTAAACTCTAATTAAGAATAATTGCAAGATATTACGCAATTTTTAAATTCGATTATCGATATCAAATTATCGATGTAAAATTATTATCAGTATTGATTATCGAGTTATCGGATATTAATCGATAAATCTAAGTGTTTAATAATTATAATGATATTAGAAAAAAATATCGTATGTTATTAAGTAGTTATTTTATTTTAATTATAAATGTATTTTTTTACATTTATTTTTTTACATTTTCAATGATAAAACTTTTAATTTAAAAGAAATTAAAACTTAATACTATAATAAAAAACTAAAATAAAAAAAACAACTTTTCATTTATTAATTTTTATCTATAAAAAATGAATGTTGTATAAATTAAAATATATTATAGTTGTATATTATTATGTATATTATTATATAGATAAATGTAAATATATATATTTTTTATTAAATTTATTATTATAATTATGTTTAAATAATTATTTTATATTAGCAGTTATGTTTTGAGAAATATAACATATCATTTTTTAAATTTAAATTTCGTATAAACCGCTAAACTGAATTAATGATGGCGTTAAACATCAGATGGCGCGGCAATTTTAGTTCTACTTGAATACACGGGAGTTTCCATGGACCCTGTCGCCGACGCACCTGGCGCATCGACCGAGAAACAGAAACAGCTGTCTGTTCGAAGCAACTTCGAAAGTATCGTTTGTTAATTGTTGATTTAGAATTGTGTAGATCTTTGTTACGTTATTTGTGGAATGCGAAGTAACGAGGTTTCGGGGTATTGTGCCTGTCATCAAACGCGTACTAGTCTGCCCCTTGCTTCACCACTCTTTACCGCTTTAGGCGGTTGCTTCGATGATAACGTGCTTGCCTTTTATTTTTCCGATTTCTACGATCCGGAACGTTTCTCCCCCTTTCCTCTCTTTGCTTCTCACTCTTTCCTTGTCCCCACTTGCTCATTCTCGCGCTCTCTCCCCTTCTATCTTTCTCTATTTCTCTCTTAAGTTCTCCGTTTCTCTGTCCCTCATTTTCCCTCTCTGTTGTTCTAAGTTACTTTCAAGATCTGTGTGTTCTTCATCAACGATGTAAACAGACTAATATTTTTTGGAGAAAATCTTCATTTTTCTACTTCAATTCATATTTGTGTATACTTGTCTGTTGTTGTTATTGCTCCAACTGTAATCATACGTGCACGCAAATGACGCACCTATAAGTGAAATACGCACGCATCAACAAGCAGCATTTCTTCGATGACACTGTCGTTGATCAGTAACGATTCTTAGGATAACAGTTGGATATATCGAGAGAAGAATATTCGTAATTTTTCGTTTAATTCGATTTTTCTGATACTTGTTTTTTCTACAAAGTTATAGATAAGAATTCTCCCGCGCTACGGAACACGGGTGTGAAAAATGTAAAACGTTGGTTCAGAATTAAAGTTAAGTGATATTAAAGTGCGAAAACCTTGATGATTTAAATTTTTAGAAATTGTGATGATAATTTGTAGTAAAAAAAAAAAAAAACTAATAAGACAATTTTAAGAAAATCATTTTTGATTTCACTTATTCAGAATATTCCATTATCTTTATTTTCATTTTTTTATCTTGCTGTTATCCTTACATCTTTTTTTTCAATCTAATATTTTTTTATTTAATTTACTATTTGTTTAATTCTAGTCATATATAATAATTTATTCTATTTAAAACAATAAAACATATTTATTTTTACAGTAGTACCAGTGCGAGCAAAATATAATCTCCATAATTATTGAACGATGAAGGAATCATTAGTAAAAATTATCAAATAAACATGGCATTTCAAATAAAGAATTTAATGATTAACTATTACGCATATTAAGGATATGCTTTATATCATCAGGACGGAACTAAATGAATGAATAAAATTATAAGGAATGATATTCTATTTGAATCTATTGGATGTTAGATAAAGTGAAAAATGTCTGGTGATTCAGGATGGAATACTGTTATTCACCATCCTTCAGAATTAGAATTACAGAATTGGAATTGGGAAGAAAACGATGGAGAGCAAGAAAGGGAGCTCCCTTCAACTGTTGATATGGATGCTATAAAGGGTGGTGGTAGCTGGGATCCAACTACTGAACCTAATGGTATTAATACATTATATTAATAAATTATATATATATTACGATTGATATTTATTTCTTCATATAAAAATTATATGTATAAAATATAGAATTTTTATTTTTTTCTTTTTTTAGGAACAGATTCGGTTGATTCCGAAGAAGATTCAGATTCCGACGACGAAAGCTCTGGCGGTACAGAAGGTAGTTGTTCTTATTCAGATTCGAATTCGGATTCAGACGACGAAAGTAGTGGTGACGAGGAAGAAGATACAGGATCCAATTCGGATTGTACATCGGAACATAGCGAACAAACATTTTCCATTCAAAAAACAAATTTTGAACCGGTATATATTAGAAATTTGTTATTGATCTAGAAATTTTGCTGTACACGATTAGATAAAATTTTTAATTGCATTGCAGGGAGCGCTTAAATTAAAAATCAGTATGAAAGGTCCAAAAAAAGAGGATTCGGAAAAAGAAAAAAATAAAAAAAGCATACCAAAAAAAGTTAAAACGAATCGAGGAGGAAAGGTGATTTATAAATATTTACTCTAAATATAATTGTCAAGTTCTTAATTATTATTAATTAATCATTAATTAAAAATTATAAAGGAATATATATTTTATCTTTATTCTATTTAGTCATCAGAATGCAGTAGTGATGAGTCTGACTCATCTGAAAATCATTCAACTTCACAACATACACAGCAACAACAGCAACAGATGCAACAATCTCAACAGCAACAACAACCACAACAG